TACATTGAAATGCTCCACTAGACAGGCTCGTAGATTCCGAGGTGGACATCTAGAGTGATACTTTCCTAGGCATTAGACTAAGAAATTCTTTTGAGATTATGTAAAGACTAATTTTTTGTTATTCCGCTGCAAAGTTTAAACTTGATTTTTTTGTGATGTAGATGTCATAGTTCGGTATATTCTTTTAGACAATACTGTAGATATTGTGAATGATGAATGAACTTATTTTTAATTATGAATGTTATTAGCTGCTCTCGTGTTGTGAATAATTTCTTAAATTGTAATATCGTCTAAGAGGAATTTTGGGACGTTATAGAAATTGAGTGATTTACAATCTATTTATAGACTCAACATATTTTGTTTCCTAATTCAATAAGGTTTCCAATTGATCTTTACTTGAAGTACACTTTCAAGACATCCGAGTTGCTAAATCCCTAAAGAGAATAAAGTTTAAATGACACCCACTATATATTAGATCATTTTTAATCATGATTCAAATTTTTATTCAAATTTAAATTAATATTTGAGTAAAAAACTTGATTTGATATAAATAATTTTAATAGACAAATTCAAATTTAAAGAAAGAGAGACCCAAATTTAAATATGAGTAAAAATGATCATTAGATCTTTAAAAGATTGTGAAATCTCATCATTAAAGATTTGAGTCTCTCTTGATTTGAGTAAAAAAAATAAGTTTCCATAGATTTTATATAAATTTAAGTCAAGGGTTGGGGTAAGTTTTATAGACTTTTTTATTCAAATTTAAATTTAAATCAGGGTGGAAGATGTCATTTATGTATCAATTATCAAGCAAAGCAAGCAACAGAGTTATACCAAAGGGTGAGCCGTAACTTTGTAAGCCTGAGTTTAAGTTTCAACAAAATTTATAATTAACAAATGTGCGAGATTTAATCAAACGGGAAGTGGTTAGAATGATTTTCTCTAAAAAAAATACATGTTTTGATCATGTGGTCTATTATCATATATATTCTGACAATTACACTCCCTTCGGTTAACAAGAAAAAGAGGATAGAAAATGAAGTAAAAGAAAAAAAAGTGAAAAAAAAAATATTTTTTTATATATGCATTTGGTTAGCATAAAAAATTTCTAAAAAAATTTTAAAATAATTTCATTTTATTGTTTGAAAGAAAAGAAAGTTATAAGAAATTTTTTCTAATTGTTTAAGTCATCCTTAATTATTTTAACTCAATTTAAAGGAGAAAAAATATTTTTTATTATTCAAATTTTAAAAAAATTGACTCCTAACCTATTTCAGAGACAAGAATCGACTCAAATTCTGATTTCTAGATTAAATTATATGGTTAGTCTAATTTGTACAAATTTTTTTAAAATTAATAACTAATTGAATATTTTTAAAAAAAAATAAGGTAAAATGGGAAGTTAGGTCATTGAACATAACTTTCTTATTTTTTTTTTATATTTTTTGCTAGAAAAAAAAAGTTAATTAGATATGAGAAAATCTAAGAATGGAAAAAAAATATTTTTTATATCATTTTCAATTTTATGCTAAACAAACACGTGTAAAATTTTAAAATTTTCTCTTTCTTGTATTTTTTAACATTATCTTACTAAAGAAACGGACCCAGAGAAAAAAATTTGTGTCATATACAATCAAATCATATATATATAGAAATTCTAAATTCATAATAGTTCAAGTGATAACAAGAATGAACTGTAAATTCAGACGTTGTGAGTTTGCATCTTGATAATCCCTTGGAGTTAGATTATGAGGAATTTATCCCTCGTGAATTCCCTAATCCCGATATAAATGATCTATTTTTAACCAGATCTGAAAAGAAATTAATCGAAATACACGTAAATTAATCTGGACACCATGTTAAAATAAATAAATACCCAGAAAGCCATTTCACTCGGTATTACCAAGAAGACTTGAAAACATAATGAAAAATTCTCACCAAACAATGTTAAGTACAAGTCACGCAGAAGGGCAGAACTAAGCCTTTCTTAGAAAAGAAGACAATTTACCCAGAAGCTATACATTGGGATTTGGCTCTCACAGATAGAAGAAGAGACGAATGAATCAAAGAAGAATGCTGATATAAGGGGGAGGAGCAACGTAGTAAGCTTGATGAATGTTTGTGCGACTGCTTCAACAAAGAAGAAGAGAAAGTCAATGGCCAACTTCAGAATTTTCATGCACATTTCCAATCCCTTGATCACCATAAATATCCATATTAACAGTCAATTTAGGTTAGATCAATTTTTAAATGAATTTTTTATAAATCAGAAGTTTTATGGAAATAAAAAGACAACCAATGGTGATAAATATAAATTTTCGAATATCTCATTTTATAATTTTAAATTTCTTATTTTGTATTTCATCATCCTCTCCATGACATAGATTAAAATTCTGTATTGCACCATTCTCAATAACATAGTATGAATTTTGTGGATCTGTCTTCTTAGTAATTTCACCTGAGTACTTGGTGCATTTGAAATACAACCTGAATATGTTGATTCTCAAATATATCTCAATAGTGACATATTTTTTATACGAATTGAACTTGGTCCCTTTGTAGATGTAATCATAGGCGGAGCCACATGGGAATCAGGGTGGGCACTTGCCCCCTCACTTTTGAACCACCTTAGATAAAGCCCCACAAAATTATTTTATACATTATATTTTTCTCCCTAAATTTTTGAAAATTTTAATAATGATTCTAATCTCTTTTTTTTCAATAAATTAGTGGACCACTAACCCTCTAAAAATAAATATGTTAGTTTTAGATTGAGTCAATGATCTATTTGTATATTGACGAAAATACAATATTTATCTTTATCTAACATAATGTTCGTTACTTTTTAAGAATAATTTTAATTTTAATTTATTATTTTTTTAGTAATAGTAGTCTATAACCTAATTAAATACGATTGTATACAAAAGACAAAAGGTTGTAATCTAAAAATATTTCAAATAAAAAATTTCTCTATAAGATTAATAATAATCTCAACTAAATTTTGTAACTAAATAAAAAATAATTTTACCACGAATTTGTAATTGTGCACATTGATAGAAAATTAGCGAAAAATTAATTTACATTTACTTCATACACAAAATTTTAGAGATTTTAAAATTTTTATATTTTATTGAAATATATAATTAGGTTAAAATATACTAAAAAAAATATTTTGTATCTCTTTGTTAGGATTTTGTTTCAAGCAAATTAAAATTTTAATTTATTATTTTACAATAATTTTGTCTTGATTTTTACTTTTTTATCATTCTCTAACTGATTTTTTTTGTATCAATTTCGGCAAAATATTTTTTATACCAGTTATGTTTTGCATTCCTCATAGATATTCATGGTTCCGTCCCTGACAATATACATTTTTCTTTTGAAATTTTTTTTGTTAAATAGACTTCATGTATCAAATAAATTTATAATAAATATAAATATATTATATAGTTTGATTGGTTAGAAGGAAAAAAATTAAAGTATATAATTAAAATGTCTACTCTGACCAAAATTTTTGGCTCCCCCCTGAATGTAATTGTCACAGGTGGTGCATCGAATGCTCATTGGAAGTATCATACGAAGCTTAATCTGTATGTTCTTGGTTGTCTTCACTTTGGTTATTTTTGCCGGATCAAAGTCCAGCGTGTAGTACTTGTTAATCACCTTCCTCTCTCCCATGTCTTCTTAACAATAAACAATCAAATTAAGATTTTTAAAAAAACAATAAAGATTCACAAGAAAATTTATGTGGAATCATCAATAGATTTTCTTCTTCTTCCTTCACTTTTTCTGCCTAGAGTTCCAATAAAAAAAACTTTAACCGATTCAATCTTGTTATATAGTATACATAATGTCATATGATTTAAGAAGACCAAGAAGTTTTCTCCCAATAATAATAAAATAAATAATTAATTAGAGCTGTCCATTCAAAAAAAATTTAGAAATTAAAGGACACTTCACAATGAAAAGGCTAAATTATCCTTAATGAAGTGATTACTCCTAACTAAAACAGATTTAAAAACTAAAACTCATAAATTTTAGATATTTCTCATATTAGCGGCATTTCTTTCTCTCTTATCTGGCTATAATAGACATCCCATGCAATGCACGAAATTTATTATCTCTTCTTATTATTAACTTATTATTAAATTTTTTGTTATCATAATATCTTTGAATAATTTTTATTAATATTAAAATGCTATTAATTTATATTGTAAATAATTAAAAAAGATGATTAAAAGTTTAAATTTTGAAGTAATTTAAAAAAAACAGTGGGAGTTGTTATAAAAGACATATGTAATGTTTTGATTGGAACCAACTAATCAAATATTTCAAAATTCTAGTAAATTAACGTACAGAGAGAAAAGTTGAACTTACTTTGAAGTCTTTGGCTCAGCCCGCCAACCTTGCTTCGGAATTTTCCAAAGGATGGGTGGAATGGCGCTGTAGGAACCGGTGAGATTCCATTGATACAGAGCCAATTCCAATAGGCTTATTGGAGGGTCCCATTGGCGTGCATCCCCGGCCGGTTCCGCCGGATAGGGCCAGGAGCTGGTTTGGGGAATCACGGGCCTTCTTAAGACCTTTTCCGGACGTCGGGGCGGTTGGAAGGTTCGAATCAGAACTCACGGGCGGATACCTGATAGTCTATGTACTTGGATCCTGAAAGGCAATTTTTTCCGAGTCGTTGCCCTTTTCGGCCTTCACTTCACACAGACGAGTCGAGCACATAATAGCGATGCTTCTGAGCAGAGCTCAAGACCTCTCGCCATTCATTCTATCTCTCTCTTCAAGCCCCAAATCATGCCTAATCCCACAACACAACCACCCCAATAAAGGCCTCACCTTTCCCATGCGCACTGCCCTCTCAATCCTCCGCTCTTTATCCACCTCCTTCCACCACCACAACCACCACCACCACAGCTACCACCGCCTCCTCTTCTATTCTCTCTCTGTCCTACAACCCTCACCACCTCTCAGTCTCCCGCTCTTAAGCTACAAAACCCACCATTCATTTCGATTTCTACTACTCTCCAACCCTTCTGCTTCGGTGAGTACTATGGTCGAACAGTTGGCGCACGAACCGGAAGAAGTGAGAGGCCATGAAAAGTGGGACTTCTCAAAAAATGAAGAGAGGAAAATATTTGAATTTGATGATTCTTTTGTGTCGACTGAGTTGAAGAAGCTGGATTCGCCGTCTCTCGAGGTTAAGGAATTGGAGGAGCTTCCGGAACAGTGGAGGAGAGCGAAATTGGCGTGGCTGTGTAAGGAATTGCCTGCCCATAAACCTGCAACGATGATTCGGGTACTCAATGCGCAAAGGAAGTGGCTTAGACAAGAAGATGGGACTTATCTTGCGGTTCATTGTATGCGAATTCGCGAGAATGAAGCTGGGTTTAGGGTAAATTTCATATTCTTGTTAAACCAAGTTTCCTAATCAAAGATTTTATTTTCTATGACATTGTTCTTCACTGTCCATAGTAGGAGGACATTCGGGGGAAATGGGTTTTTTGAACTGCAATTGGGACAGTGACAATAACTGCCAGGTTTGATGGCTATATTCTTCTCTGCCATGCAACTGTGATATATTTGAAGAACATTCTGATCGCTCTTCCTGTTAGATGATGATGTCTTTAGTAAACCCCAGTGGTTAATCAACCTTACAATCAGGAAAATGAGAGAAATTGCAAGATATTTTGTAGTCATAACTCATCAAACTAAAACTCAGTTATACGATTTTGATAGTTTTTACTACAACTTGTAGTGCATGATATGAATTTGCATTTCATAGTTGCCTTACAATTTCTGGCCTTTGACTGATGAAGTGGATTTCACAAGAACGAGTATGACGGGTTAATATTTTATGGGTTGTAATCATTTTCAGATTTTAGTTACATTCAATTTCTTTTCTTGCCATCTTTTGTACAATGCTAACAGTTAACTGATCTAGAATGTTTTACTGTCTGCCATTCAGGCCAAATATTTGCTCATACCTTAAAGGTTTTGTAAGTATATGGGAGCCTTGAGCCTGAAATAAAATTTACTCTAGCAGCAACTTTTAGTGTGATCACTGAAGTCCTAGACGTATTCCATGGAAATTTAATGCTGTTTCAGTACTTTACCGCTGCCCACAAATTGCTTTGATGTTTCCACTGTTATTCATAATGAATTTGTGATTGAATATGGACATACATTTCTACTCGATCTTGGGGGTTACGAAGAATCTAATTTATCGCATATCACACTCCACGTCTAATTTTCATTTCTATTTTTCTTTGACAATTGGCATGGTCGTAAGGCAAGCTAATTACTGCACGTCACAGCACAGCCATCCTGAGAGGTTGTCACTCTTATCTGTAATGTGCCTGAATTTTCTCTTTTTGTTATTGCATATACAGAGAAATATCCTTTGTCATTATGGTCATTATGACTGGATGATGAATGTTGTACCCTGAGTTCGACATCTATGAATACTGAATTTGTTGTTAAACTTTTCAGGTATACAAATGGATGATGCAACAACATTGGTATCGCTTTGATTTCGCTCTTGCTACCAAGCTAGCTGATTACATGGGCAAGGAACGAAAATGTTTAAAATGTAGGGAGATATTTGATGACATAATTAACCAGGG